TGCCTAAACAAACCCCCGTCCCGGACATAAGGACCTAGGGTCGCGACGGCACGTTGCAAAACCGAATCTCCAACCAAAACCTCGGCCACCCTAGGCACCCCATCCGGTCCATACGACAACTTAACAATGCGCCCACGTCGCCAATACAAAGGCAAAGCGTTAGGTTTTTTAACTAACACGAGGTCTCCAACCCGAGGAGGATCCGTCTTGTCAGACCACTTAACGCGCTGCTGCAAAAGATGTAGGTACTCCAGAGACCATCGGTGCCAAAAACTCTGAGTCATTTGTTGCAGCAGGTCAAATCTGCTCAACTGTGAAGAGCTTATTTCCCTGAGGGGTACTCGGGCAGGGCGTTGAGCGGCTCGCTAATCAGGAAGTGGCCCGGGGTTAGAACCTCCAAATCATTCGAATCGGACGAGAGGGGACAGAGGAGCCGAGGGTTGAGGACCGCCTCAATTTTACAGAATACAGTGGCAAGCTCTTCAAATGTCAAAATCGTTTCGCCAATAACGCGACGGAGATGCGTTTTTGCAACCTCAACCACCGCCTCAAAATACCGCCCCAGTGTGGGCAAGCCGGAGGGTCAAATTTGCACTGGATGCCCTTCTTGGAAATCGCATTAGCTAAATAAGTCCTGTTTCTGGACAGCATTTCGACGACCTCTTTCAAATATCTATCCGTGCCCTTATAATTCGTTCCGCAATCCGATCGGAACAATCCGACAGGTCCGGTAAACGATAACGTATAAGCGATACGAAGCGGCTCAGCGTGGCCACAAAGGCTTCAGTGCTGAGGGCACTTACAAGTTCTAAGTGAACGGCCTTAGTGGAGAGGCACACGAAAACGCACAGATAGGCCTTATGCGAACGCGCATTACGAAGGTTGGAGGACTTGACGAGGAAGGGGCCAGCAAAGTCGGTTCCGACTCCAGCGAATGGTCGGATGGCCCTGACGCGGTCGGGTGGTAAGTCACCCATCATCGGCTGCGATATGGTGGCCTTCAATTTATAACAAGGTATGCACTTAAGGATGACGCTCCGAATGGTGCGTCGGCCAGCCAAAATCCAAAACTCCCGCTGCAAAATAGCCGAAAGAGCGTTACACCCAGCGTGGCCGAATAAAGGCGCCGTCCTTGGGGACGGGTAACGGGTGTCCCAGTAACGGGTGTCAAGCCCCGTATGGCAGTTGAGAATTTTTCAAACGTCCGCTAACGCGCAGCATCCCCGCGTCGTCCAGGAAGAGATTCAGGCGGGCCAGAGCGCTCTTGACAACGGGGTCCCGCTTCAAGGTGTCAATCACGGGTTCAAAATGCTCCACTTGGACCATACGGGTCCAATGCATCAAAGCTTCGCCCCGCTCGCTAGGGGACAAAACGGAATAAGAGATTCGGTTAGACGGGTCTCTTAAATTGCGGACAAATCTACGCAACCAAGCAGTCACTCCTAAGAGCTTATCGAGAAAGCTATACCGTCCTAGCAGGGAGAAATCCTGAGTGGGCTTATCCTTGCCCACTCGGGCTCGTAGGCCAGGCAATTCAATAGGTTCAGAGTATTTATTCCGGGGTCAGAACGACTGAGACTCAGACAACCAACTGGGCCCCCACCACAGCGGGTGGTCAACCAAAGAGGGTGCTTCACAGCTGCGAAAAGCACAGTCTGCGGGATTCAACTCCCCCTGGGACATGTCTCCAGGTTAGAGGCGTGCCAGAATTCTGGATTTGAGACACGCGGTTCGACACAAAGACCTCAAGATTGTCAGGTGCAGCTAGGAGCCAACAAAGTACTATCTCACTGTCCGACCAAGTACCAAGCAAGTGTAACATCGATTACAGACTTCAAAGATGAATGAACGTGGTTGAGGAGTCGCGTGAGAAGAGCGGCTCCGGACAGTTCCAATTTAGGGATAGTTAAGCGGGACCTAATGGTAGCAATCTTGCTTTTAGCAAGTACGAGATGGACGGAAGTATGGCCAGAAGAGCTCACAGTCCGCAAATATACGACAGCAGCATAGCCTTTCTCAGAGGTGTCGCAAAATCCATGCAGGGTAGCCCTGCATTTCCTGGGAGGGAGAAAGCACCTTGGCATGGAGACCCGGTTGATATCCGGAAGGGAGGACACAATGGAGAGCCACTCTCGCAAGAGAATACCGCTTATAGGGTCGTCCCAACCCAACCCGGATATCCAGAGCTTTTGAAGAAAGCACTTAGCCAAAAAAATGACCGGAGTGATCCATCCATTAGGATTGAAAGTGCGGGCTACAGTCGACAGCACAGAGCGCTTGATCCATGATTTAGGTGGGGGATCGAGTTTGAATCGATACGTGAAGGTATCCTGAACCGGCTGATATTGAATGCCCAGCACAGTCGACAAATTAGGATTGTCAGGGGGCTCGAATAGATGAGGGTCTTGTTGATCCTCTCCTGGGAGGTCCTTCAAAATATGAGGGGAGTTTGACAACCACTTGCACAACTCATAACCTCTTGACTTCAGGATGGCAATCAATTCGTATCGCAATGCAAGAGCCTCCTCGACGGTGGAGGCGCCCGTGCAAATATCGTCCATGTAGACCGAAGTATCGAAAATAGAAGCCCCCGAGCGTATCTTAGACGCTCTCTCTCAGCGAGTTCGAGGAGGGTTCGCATGGCGATATACGGGCTGGACGGAGTCCATAGGTGGTGGTGTTCAACTCAAATACCTGTATCGGATCGCTGGGATTCTCGCGCCACAATATCAGCTGATATCGACGGTCATCACGATGGACCACGGATTGTCCATACATCATCCGAATGTCGGCTACAAAAACAACTTGGTGCCGACGGAAGTAGGTCAAAATGTCGGATATGTCCTTGATCAATTTATGACCAGAGTAGAGACTGGTTCAGGGACACACCATTTGACGAGGGGGCGGAGCCGTCAAAAACTACCCGAATCTTACTCCAAGGGGTCCTCAAGACCGCATGGTGGGGGAGGAAGTAGTGCTCCTGTAACCGCCAGTCGAAGTGGGATGGTGACATGTGACCCAGCTCTTGATACTTGCGCATGAACTCGACATACTTGTCGCGAAAGGCTGGGTCGCGCCACATACGGCGCTCCATAGAAAGCAACCTCTTTTCGGCCAGAGTACGAGATTGGCCCAAAGGGGGCCGTGAGTCAAGAAAGGGTAAGCGAGTGACAAAACGACCGTCGACACGCCGACCGGTATTGTTCTGGTAGAACAACTCGCACTCACGGTCCAGAGGGTTGACTCGAGGCGCGTGTGGTAGCTCCTCAATTTCCCAGAACCGCTGGACGCCTAACAGGATGAACCCCAGCACGTAGGCCCCCAGCAACAAATCTATAGGCCCAGGTTGGGACCATTGAGGGTCTACCGGTTTCAAACCCGACGCACAACGAACCACGCTGTCATTTATACGGACGTTAGGGATAAAACCTACAATGTCATCGAGGACATTTACTTTAACTAAAATACGAAGGTATTCGCTGGCAGAACCAAACACCAGCTTTGCTTGTCCCCTAGGAGCAGGAGGCTCGGCACCTCCGATACCTACCATTAGACGTGATTCAGAGCTCCAGGGGAGCCCCAGTCTTCCCACCAACCAAGTGGACACGCCCACCACAGAGAGCGGGTCGGTCATCTGAGGCGGTGGAGATCACAGAACCGGTCCAAAGAAACTGTGCCCAAATACAGTGGACATGGCTGACAAGCCATCGGGCTGTAGGGCTCATATCTCGCCTAACAGGATGAACCCTAGCACGTAGGCCTCCAGCAACAAATCTATAGGGCCAGGTTGGGACCACTAAGGGTCTGCCGGTCTCAAACCCAATGCACAACGAACCACGCTGTCATTTATACGGACGTTAGGGAGAAAACCTACAATGTCATCGAGGACATTTACTTTAACTAAAATACGAAGGTGTTCGCTGGCAGGACCAAACACCAGCTTCGCTTGTCCCCTAGGAGCAGGAGGCTTGGCACCTCCGATACCTACCATTGGACGTGATTCAGAGCTCCAGGGGAGCCCCAGTCTTCCCACCAACCAAATGGACACGCCCACCACAGAGAGCGGGTCGGCCATCTGAGGCGGTGGAGATCACAGAACCGGTCCAAAGAAACTGTTCCCAAATACAGTGGACATGGCTGACAAGCCATCGGGCTGTAGGGCTCGTATCTCGCCTAACAGGATGAACCCCAGCACGTACGCCCCCAGCAACAAATCTATAGGTCCAGGTTGGGACCATTAAGGGTCTGCCGGTCTCAAACCCGACGCACAACGAACCACGCTGTCATTTATACGGACGTTAGGGAGAAAACCTACAATGTCATCGAATCAATACTTAAAACTGTCACAACAATAATTATATAATCCCGGCTTCGTTATCAAGAAAACAAACAAATTAAGATAAACCGTAAAGCTCGCGAAGTATAATCGACCCGGGCTTCGACGCGGCAATTGTATCAAAATAAACGCGCGACCTCTGAACGCTACGGCTCGCTCACCAAGAAGGTCGAGACCCGTCCGCGCGGCCGTCGGCCGCACAGCTCCGCCTCCCCCCGGCCCCGCCGTCAAACCGGTTTCCCGCTCGGAACGCGCGCTAAATTATGCCTAAACAAACCCCCGTCCCGGACATAAGGACCTATGTCCGCGAATAAATTGGCAAACGGGATAGGGTCATTTGTAACCCTTATTCTATAAAAAATGTTTTGTAGAAGATGCGACTTGCATCGATAAATATAATTTTCTCCTGCTTTTTCTTACATTGCTGGAAACATCCTAGGAGTGCAAATCTATAATATGCATATGGTTAGTACCATAGGTTGAGTATATTTTATACTCTTAAAATAAACATGTTGTAATATAAGAGACTATGTACGTTCCTCTGCACACAAGCCTTCTTTTATTCTTAAGGGCGTTTAGGGAAAAAATGATAAAGCTTTACTTTCTCTGCTTGTATTTAAATTGTGTCTTTTATTTATTCTGTGATTGTGTGTGATGTCTACAGCCACAGGTGAGCCCGCGCTTGTATTATCTGTGGTGGTAACGTTCGCACTCCACGAAGCCATCCTTGAAGCCAGGAAGGAGTTTGGTTATGTAGACACTGAATGGCTGAATATTGGTAAGTTTAGTTGTGTATTGTTTTGTAAAACATGTAAATTCATCATAAACCTTTTTGTGATCTGTTACATATACCACAGGCAAGATTAAAGACATTGGTTTTGTTGTTAGTAAAGAACAATGCTTCTAAATTATTAGACTTACCACCAAGTGGGATTGTGTTCAATTACTGACTTCTAATAAGTAAAATATATAGAAGTAGTAGTAGTGATAGTAGTATAGTAGTAAGTTTGAGAATACATATTTCTATCTTCATTTGTAATTTCCCAAACACTGCCCAGCCGAGTTGAATCCGACGATTGATCTCTCGTCTCAGTCGAATTTGGACTTACCTAGTCGGACTATTTGTCCCAGGTAAAAATACACGTCAACAACTTCGAGCTTAGTGCTCTCTTAACAACTACTGACATAGGTGTGACATGGACGTTACACATGATCTTTGTTTTGTCCATGTTCATCTTAAGACCTATCCGTTGGGAGACGTTACTGAGGTCATTGAGCATATTAGGAAGGAAACCTATGGATGCAGGTGGCTCAGGACAGTTTTTTGAGGCATTCTTTGCTTATGTTCAGCAGTGGTCTTGTGAAGGGCTGTAATGATGATGATGATGATGTAATAATGGCGTTGTCGCCATGCACAGTTCCCTTCACAGACTTCAAGATCCGTGGCGAGTATTATTACATCAGGTGTACTGTAAGCTCGTTGTCTGTAATCATATAATACTTCCTAAGCTAAGCCTAATCTACATACTGGAATTATGCAAGAAAGAAACGAACTACGAACAAATGGACTGCTCGGTACTATAATATTTATTTTCTTTCATTTTGATTGATCTATATTTATCTTTTTTATATGTTTCAGATACTCCATACTGTGTCGAGAGTATTATGAAAGCGATCGCCCCTAAAATAAAAAGTTATAAGCTTAATTAAAAAATAATATTTTATTGTAATTATACAATTTTTCTTATAAAATTGTTATACATACGCATAATATTATATTAATAAAGTTTATTATTTTTAAAAGTTGTAATTTATTTATTATAACCCTTTTGGACATATCGTAAGAACATCCAGTATCAGTATCATAGGAGGCGTCAGAAGGAACCGAAAACTAGAGATGGGCAGCTGCATTTTCCCGATGACAAATGAAATTATAAAAAACTACGGTCGCCAATCGAATCTAAATACAGCGCACAACTGCCACAGGCCGCGCTGCAATGAGGACTAATATTCTATCACTAGATGTCGCTATACAGCGCACAACTGCCACAGGCAGCGCTGCAATGAGGACTAATATTCTTTCTATCACTAGATATCGCTATACAGCGCACAACTGTCACAGGCCGCGCTGAAATGAGAACTAATATTCTTTCTATCACTAGATGTCGCTATACAGCGCACAACTGTCACAGGCCGCGCTGCAATGAGAACTAATATTCTTTCTATCACTAGATGTCGCTATACAGCGCACAACTGCCACAGGCCGCGCTGCAATGAGGACTAATATTCTTTCTATCACTAGATGTCGCTATACAGCGCACAACTGCCACAGGCCGCGCTGAAATGAGGACTAATATTCTTGCTATCACTAGATGTCGCTATACAGCGCACAACTGTCACAGGCCGCGCTGCAATGAGGACTAATATTCTTGCTATCACTAGATGTCGCTATACAGCGCACAACTGCCACAGGCCGCGCTGAAATGAGGACTAATATTCTTTCTATCACTAGATGTCGCTATACAGCACACAACTGCCACAGGCCGCGCTGAAATGAGGACTAATATTCTTGCTATCACTAGATGTCGCTATACAGCGCACAACTGTCACAGGCCGCACTGCAATGAGGACTAATATTCTTGCTATCACTAGATGTCGCTATACAGCGCACAACTGCCACAGGCCGCACTGCAATGAGAACTAATATTCTTTCTATCACTAGATATCGCTATACAGCGCACAACTGTCACAGGCCGCGCTGAAATGAGGACTAATATTCTTTCTATCACTAGATGTCGCTATACAGCGCACAACTGTCACAGGCCGCGCTGCAATGAGGACTAATATTCTTGCTATCACTAGATGTCGCTATACAGCGCACAACTGCCACAGGCCGCGCTGCAATGAGGACTAATATTCTTTCTATCACTAGATGTCGCTATACAGCGCACAACTGTCACAGGCCGCGCTGCAATGAGGACTAATATTCTTGCTATCACTAGATGTCGCTATACAGCGCACAACTGCCACAGGCCGCGCCGCAATGAGGACAAATATTCTTTCTATCACTAGATATCGCTATACAGCGCACAACTGTCACAGGCCCCGCTGCAATGAGGACTAATATTCTTTCTATCACTAGATGTCGCTATACAGCGCACAACTGTCACAGGCCGCGCTTCAATGAGGACTAATACTCTTGCTATCTCTAGATGTCGCTATACAGCGCACAACTGCCACAGGCCGCGCTGAAATGAGGACTAATATTCTTTCTATCACTAGATGTCGCTATACAGCACACAACTGCCACAGGCCGCGCTGAAATGAGGACTAATATTCTTGCTATCACTAGATGTCGCTATACAGCGCACAACTGTCACAGGCCGCGCTGCAATGAGGACTAATATTCTTGCTATCACTAGATGTCGCTATACAGCGCACAACTGCCACAGGCCGCGCTGCAATGAGAACTAATATTCTTTCTATCACTAGATATCGCTATACAGCGCACAACTGTCACAGGCCGCGCTGAAATGAGGACTAATATTCTTTCTATCACTAGATGTCGCTATACAGCGCACAACTGTCACAGGCCGCGCTGCAATGAGGACTAATATTCTTGCTATCACTAGATGTCGCTATACAGCGCACAACTGCCACAGGCCGCGCTGCAATGAGGACTAATATTCTTGCTATCACTAGATGTCGCTATACAGCGCACAACTGCCACAGGCCGCGCTGCAATGAGGACTAATATTCTTTCTATCACTAGATGTCGCTATACAGCGCACAACTGTCACAGGCCGCGCTGCAATGAGGACTAATATTCTTGCTATCACTAGATGTCGCTATACAGCGCACAACTGCCACAGGCCGCGCCGCAATGAGGACAAATATTCTTTCTATCACTAGATATCGCTATACAGCGCACAACTGTCACAGGCCCCGCTGCAATGAGGACTAATATTCTTTCTATCACTAGATGTCGCTATACAGCGCACAACTGTCACAGGCCGCGCTTCAATGAGGACTAATACTCTTGCTATCTCTAGATGTCGCTATATAGCGCACAACTGCCACAGGCCGCGCTGCAATGAGAACTAATATTCTTTCCATCACTAGCAGTATCAGAGTTCTTACATAGCAGTGTTGTGAATGAGGATTTCTTTTAAGTAAATAAATACTTGTGTTAGAAATCTCCCCTCTCCGTAACATTGTTTAATGAATACGATTGTGATACCTACTTACTTCAATACTTAACCTAAAAACATATTTTTTAATTATTTTTTATTTAATTACTTGAAACTGAGTTGAAGTTATTTGTTACACAATGTCATTATAATTAAGAAGTGTCCTTTTCATTATAAATTATTGTTTACTAGAACAAGTAAATTTACAAAACAATGTCTCAGTAAATTGCTCTTTAATTTTTGCATTTTTTTAATTTTTCTTCTGTTATGATTATCGTTAGGTTTATTTGCTTCTAATATAATGAATATAAAGTATAAATATTAATTCAGATGGAAATATTAACTCGACATTTTTCGAACAAGTTTTCCCGTTTACCCGCCATTAATTTTATCTCATTACTATGTGGCGCCGCCCTGGTGGCAGAAAAACTCATTGCGTTGGCGGAATACACACTCGAAATATTTTATTTCTCAAACATTTAGGTTTCCCCAAGATACGAAAATATCTTGGGGAAATATTATATATATAACTGTGTAGTGGTATTAAGACCAAAACACATTGTTTCTATAATCGAATATTATGTAACAACTATGAAATAATAATACTCACTGAGACCTGGCTAAATGATTCTGTTTCGAGTAGTGGACTTTTTGACCCTAGATATGTAGTACATAGGACATAGACCTCCGCCAGTAGTACCATGAAATAGGGAGGGGGTTTTAATAGCAGTATCTAAGAAATTGAAACAGCCAACTTTTACCATAGCCTTATGTAACGAACATTCATGTGATCGTAAATGAAAAAATGCTCTCAGTGAAATTATTTGTTTATTGTGTAAGTTCTGAATGTCTATGAGTCCCCTTATTCCTTCTGAATATATGAACGTGGATGGTGTTTTCTATATTTATTCATAGTGGTGTTAATTAGTAAGTAAAGTAAAGTAAAGTAAAGTACGCGCTGCTAACTAAGTTTCGAAAAATTTTAGATACGTTGTAATTTTCTAAGGTCTGTCTGTGACCATTTATTTATTCCAAAAGAATAGTTTATAGAATAGGTTAGATACAGGTACTACAAACGTGTTAATTGTGTTTCGGGATTTCAAACGTGTATTTAATATTTCATGCAATCTCAATTTAAGCGGTCGCGTTAATGCAGACTTACCCTGTGATGTATTTGCTGCGATTGCTGATACCCTAAGTATTTATATCCTTCGTTTTGATCTACGGAACCAATAATCTGGAAGTTACTGAGTTGATAATTATTAGATTAAATCTGCCCTCGGTGTACTAATTGTATTTTACACGTCTCAGACCAAATTCCATATGAATGTCATCTAAGAAACTCTGTGTTAAGTCTGCTAACTTATAAATATCGTTAAGGGAACTACTTAATAGTTTTATGTTGTCCATATATAGAGTGTAATAAGTATCTTCATATTTAATTTTATATTCCATTTTGTTGTGATTTATAATATTTGAGAGAGTGTTAAGTGCCAGGCAAAACCATAACGGGCTGAGAAAATCCCCTTGAAATAGACCTCGCTTAATATTATACTGTTTACTCACCTCGTCTTTCGACATGGGTTTAAGAAATATTGAATTTGATAATAATATTGTATTTTTAGCTGTAATGTTTTTCTGTGTCATCATTATTAACAATACATAACATACACGACATAACGTATGACATAACATAATTAGTCATGTCAATAAAATAGTTATTAAAAGTGGTTACTTATCATAAGGGTTCGTTAGGTTTTATCACTTATTTTTAGATCCTTAATATTATTCAATTTCGTATTAGAAATTTCTATTTTTATGGTGAACCATGTTGCCCTGCATTTATTTTTACTGTTACTTAAAAATTTTATATTACAATTTTTCTTGAATTTTTAGATACACTTTTTAATAAATGAGAATATTTTTATAAATGTGGCGGCGCTGTCGTCGCGCCATAAACAAAACACACTGAAGCCTAAATCGCGCTATCAAAGTTAAGAATCATAAACAGTATATTATATTATAGAACAGCTCCGAACTACCACATGGAACGTTGGCCACTCCCCGGGCAGAACACCTTACACGGCGGGAGATCTCCCCTTTTCCCTCCATGGCCGTATTAGTGACCACCCGACGTGATCTGAACACGCAACCAACAACCTTCGGAAACTACACTTCATGCCTTCGTCATTATCCTCAAGAACCCCTACCACTCACTACTGAGAATCGTCTTCTGCAGTCTTCAGTTCCTGCAAACCAGTCCAATTTGTCTTCATCTTGACTCACCGCGGATTTATAAGGCAGACTTCTGGCACTTCCTCCGGTATATCGTTCTCACCGGCATCACTTGCCAGTGCCGTAGTACGGCATGCATTACACATCGGCATATCATTCGCACCGGTGTCACTTGCCCTTACGCACACAGAATGCATTCCCTACCGACATTAAGGATGCACCGGCAATCGGACTGCACTGTCGACCTCCGATCTGAGCAATGATGTTACGTAGCTGTCGTCGCGC